TTGTAATTAATTAAATTATAATATTTAAAAATATTATAAAATAATTAATGGAAGAACTCATCTCCTCCCTTTCTTTTTGGGTTAATTTAACAAATCATCTATTAACTTTCATATTCTTTTCAATTTCATCTATTATCTTTAAATTCTTTCAATCATGTCTATTAACTTTCTCATTTATTTCAACTTCATCTAGTCCGTTATATTTAACCGAAATATCCGTTATCTTTAACCGAATCTTCTTATTCTTTAACAAAATATTTAGTCCTCTAACTATATTTATTTTGATCTTTTAGTCTTTAAATTTATATTCACCGTAAAAATAGTTTTTAATCTTATCTTACTAAATGTATTCTTCAGAAAACTGTTTTACAGAGTAGAGTGTATGCAGTCTGTCTTGTAAAATTATTTAAATGCCCTTAATTTTATTTTTATATTATTTTTTAAGAATATTTAAATAATTTTTTAAGACAAACTGCATACAATCTATCTTATAAAACAAACTAGTTGCTCATATTTATTACAAATTTTAATTACTCTATCTCTATAAAATATGTTTTGAGTCATTATATTTTATTAGAATTATAGTGTCACTTTTTCAAAACTTAAAAGACTACTTTTTTTGTTATATCTAACGAAATTTTGTACTGTTAGACTATTTTGAAATATTTCCAAAGTTTATAGACAATTTAGAAAGAAACTAAACTTTCTAGATTAAAATGAAATCAAGTTGATAGTTAATAAACTAAAAATTGAATTAAGCCCTTTCTTTTTGTTTCCCACAAACCATACTCTTAGCCAAATAAATATTGTTCAGCAATTTTAGAGATAGGTACAGGCAAACTCTTCTGGGCCCTGCGATTCCCCTAGAAAGCTGCATGCTAAACACAAAAATTCAATTCTCTAAGTAGGGGAGGATTGCATGCAGTGGCGGAACTACCAAGGGGATGGGTTAGGCATAGGCCCTACCCTTTCCCCCTAAAAACAATGAGAAAAAGAAGGGCAAGGAGGGAAGGCTGGTAATTGGTAAAAATTGATAATTAGCCCAATTACATATTAGTTTGAGTAAAAAAAATTTAGTTTTTTCTTAAATAAAATCTTGAATTTAAATCTTGTGAATGGAAAATAGATATTAGAAGAGCTTCTCCTTATAAGATCCAATGTGACTCGATTTGGAATTAATCAAAATTCAATGTAATTACTAAATATCAAAAAATTAATAAAAAAAAATGATAATTAAGCTACAACTCAACTCTTGCTTTTTTCATGTTTATTAGTGGATTTCAATATTTCGATGATATATAAATTATTTACTTAAGAAAACTTCATCAATTACCTTATATTCAGTGTAACAATTAATTTTAAAATATTAAAAAATTAAAATTTTAAAATAAACTCTCTCTATTTCCTTTGCGTCCATCTTCATTTTCCTCTCATCATAGCTATTGATAGAAGGCTTTGAAGAATTTGCCACAAATGCAAAGAAATCCGGCATGTAGCTCTTTTAAC